AGTATGAGTACCTAGTTAACGAGATTTCCTGACCATCGCCTGGGAATGAAGAGAGGATACGGGGCTGTGCCAATGATAAATGAGGGGTTCAATCATCAAGGTGTATGGTGAATATATTGAACGATGTAAACTTGCAAGAAGAGAATTATAACTGACAGATGATGACAATGTGGAAAGCCTAGATCTTAGAGCACTGTATTGATCCAAAAGTTGAAGGTATTGTTCCAACAGATGATCAATTTCCAGGGTAAGTTCTTGAACGGTAGAGATAGAGATAGACATGGTGAAATCCGAGCGTGGTGGCTTCACTGAAAGGGACAAAGATAAGATTAAGATATCGCAGTGATTCGTGTGCTGTGCGTTGTGCGTTGCGTCGTTTGTTGTAATTTAATGTTATGACATGATTCTCGAGGGAGTTTGGGAATGATAGCTAGCTACCTAGCTAGTACGGAGTAGTAGTCTGTATTGCATGTACGAAGTAAGACCACCAGTACAAGGCAAGGAGACAAGGTAATAATTGCTAGGGACTTTATCACGTGTCTGTACAGTTGAATTGCAAAGTGGAGTACCAGCGAGCCAGCTACTAGGATTTGGTCAAGGATTTGGTCAAGGATCATGGAAGAAGAGAGGAAAACTCGTGGAAGGTGGAGAATCCCGTCTAGGCAATTAATTGGAGACTGCTTAATAAGGAAATCCGGTCGATTAATTATCTACTCGAGTCACTACTGGGTACTGAGGCAGGAATGCAAAGTAAGTCAAAAGGGGAAGAAATGAAGATATTGATGATGTGTTGTGCTGTGTTGTGTTGTGTTTTATGAAACATGACACCGAAAATGATGATTGGTGATGATTGGCCATGAATGATGATATTATTTAATTCCTACGACCTAGGAATGAACAATCTTCTTGGTTGATCGTTTGAAAATCTTCCATCACTATCTATCACTACAATTAAACTTCACATTCAATCCACACACATTCAAGCCTTTTTTCGAGATTGACAACGCTCCGCTGGGCCACTGCCGTGGAGGCTGTCTCGCTTCGCTCCTGTTAGAAAAGGAGAGCATTTGAAGCGAAGCGTTGGAGTTGAAATTTGCTTTTGATAAGGCTGTTAGCTGCTATCAAACATTTTCCTCTTTCCTCTGTGCATTGAAAACTAGAAAAGAGAGCGCGAGATATTGAATGCCATCTATTTTTGCTCACTACCTATTCCACCACTGCTTATTACCTAGGTACCTACTCATCATCGACTTAACACGGTTGTGACTTAGTTGCAGGTGTAAGGGCATTGGTTGTAATCAATCCATAGTTCTGTCGCATTGATACGTAGATAATCAATATTTCGCTCTGACATCCCGCCCTATCTATCTGCTTCGGACCCTTACCTGCCTTGCCAGCATGGCCTGCCTCAATCTAGGCTTGCCCTTTCTTTCCCTCCCTCCTTTATCCACCTTGCTTGTTTTGCCCTACCTGAGTCCTGACAAGCGCTGAGTACCTGGTCCATTGTAATAATGTGTCGAATGCTGGGGGAGTATAAGCAAACTGCTAAAGTTTGATTTTCGGCAGGTAGTCAATAATTTCCGTTTGCATGGGGGGACTTTGGAGATTTCATTGCATCAAATTGCTTGATACTTTTTTCCCATTTCTTTTCTTCCAATTGGACGGGAAAGGAAAAGAGACAGCAGCAGGAACAGGAACAGCAACTAGAGCAAAGATCAAGAATCAAGGGCAGCATCCAAGAGGGAAAAAGCACACCGATACCTACCATCCCTAGCTAGATACCCATTTATTCATCCATCCCTTTAACTCACCGTGTTAAAAAGTCATTGCGAAAATAACCTTGATATTGATAAACCTAATTTTTATTCCGTCGCTGCCTCTCCAACGCTCCGACCTCCCCGTCGCCCGTCAAGTGTGAAAACCAATTCTATATTACACAGTCTCGACAGTTACAAGAATCAAGCCAGGACAATACAACACAACTACACCCACACAGCGTTACCTTCATCTACCTACCGGCACCTACTCCGTACACTCGAATACAAGCAAAGTAGTGAATCAAACAGGAGCACGAACCACCGAACCACCAGAATACCCTACTTGCATCGCCGAAACCATTCAATCCATCTGCCTATGGGAAGTATCAAGCCATTCATTAGAAAATTTTAAAATACGCGAACCATACAACAACTACAGTAGATAATGACAATAATGATAGTAATAATAACAACAACAATAACAATAACAATAATACCTAATAAGAGTCCCTACCTACTAAGAAAGGGGAGAAGATACAAGGACTTCAATTATTATCCTCATCCTCATCCTCATCCTCTTCCTCATCCCATTTCCATCCCATCCCATCCCATCCTCATCCCACACCCATCTCATTGTTGTCTTGTCTCGCTCGAGCTTGTCTTGTCTTGTCTCGTCAATTTTCTGCCTGATAATTCAGACCTCTAGAATAATCGAAAAGATTGGAAATCGTTTGCTCATATTGCATGCATTATTACTTTCCTGGATCAATCTCATTCAACTCGTTCTCGTGCATTTCATTCAACCTCAACCCCTACTTTCAGTCAATTCAATTTAATTCAATCTTTCAAATCTTTCATTTCGCACACATCACATTCAATCATCCTCTCTCAATCAAATATCACCACCACTCTTATCGAACGTCATTTTGCATACAATCAATTCCTACAGACCGAGCGCATCTCGATACAACCATCGAACATCTTCTGACACTTATTGAATTGATCACTGAAGAAAGTGGATTTGAAAGAACGATTTTCCCCCAGATATTCAAGAACGGGTTATTGTTGTCTCCAGGCAGAACGGAACAATGGTTGTCGCAACGATAAAGTTCGTATCTCCTTCATAATTCCTTATTCCTCTCCGTTGTCTTTCTCTTGGACAATTACGTAGCTTCATTGGGGGGTTGATGACCATGATGAAGCCGCTGTTGTGGCATGGATTGAATAATGATCTCGGAGAATCACCTTGTTTCAATGACTTCAATCATAGCTAACATACAATATCGATCTGTAGATGTGTCGTCGTCGGTGACGGTGCTGTCGGAAAGACTTGTTTACTTATATCCTACACTACGAATAAATTCCCTTCCGAATACGTTCCTACAGTCTTCGATAACTATGCCGTCACAGTTATGTGAGTTTGATTTACACCGTCATTTCTCAACTTCATTTCTGCCATCTCTTCAATACATACACAACGACAGGATGTTGTTCTGATCATGAATTTATTAGGATCGGTGATGAACCATATACACTCGGCCTATTTGATACTGCCGGACAAGAAGATTATGACAGACTTCGACCTCTTTCGTATCCACAAACCGATGTCTTCCTCGTTTGCTTTTCGGTCACCTCGCCCGCATCATTCGAGAACGTACGAGAGAAATGGTTCCCAGAAGTTCATCATCATTGCCCCGGCGTACCTTGTTTAATCGTTGGCACACAAACCGATTTAAGAGACGATCCCAGTGTCAAGGAAAAGCTTACAAAACAAAAGATGAAGCCGGTCGAAAAGAGTGATGGTGAGAGGATGGCTAAGGACTTGGGGGCTGTCAAGTACGTCGAGTGCAGTGCTCTGACTCAATACAAACTGAAGGATGTTTTCGATGAAGTATGTATCTCTTGATTCTGGGATGCGGCACACCTTCTACCGAGGTATTCATGAGAAGAGGGAAAATGCTAATTGTGAGTAGGCAATTGTTGCGGCATTAGAACCTCCTGCGCCAAAGAAGAAACAACATAAATGTTTAATTCTTTAATTCAGTTGTTTTACATAGACCAAACAATTAACTTTCTACCTCACCTTCTTTCGTACCGCTTTTCACCGCCACCTCCCAATTATTCTTTCATATCTCATTGTCCATATTCTCTTCGAGCAATTACATAAGTTCGGAAGATCCTGGTGTTTTATTACTGTGGGGGGAATCGAAAGTTACGTTACACATTCACACATCACCGGACTAGTCAAGAATCGACATCTTCTTGCATCTTCAATTCAGAAACGGGGGTAATGATGCATCATCTTGAAACGGTTAGGAAATCTCTAGGGAAAGAGAAGCGAATAGACTCAAGGGATGATACAACACTTCCACATCGAGGGAGATTATATGTTCTGGACAGAATTTGGAGTATTGATTTTCTCAGTCGATTTCCTGGGGAGGGATTTTGAGGTTTGTGGGAATGGGGGGAAGCAGAGAAACGGGTGGACGTGCGAAAGCTTTTTATTTTCTTTTTACAGTCCTCTCTTGTTACTTTGATCCGAAGAATCGATTCCCAGAAAGTCTGCTTTGATTACCTCTTTTTTCTATATGGCGTGTGGGCTGGGGTGTTTTGTAGGTAAAGCGTAAGGGGGCAGGAGTGCAATATACAGAATTTTGATACCTTGATACATCTTATTGTGAGCTAAAATATCTAATTGTTAGCTTGTGTCGGGTTCGACATCCTTGAGCCTGTGAAAGAATACAGCGGCAGGGAGCGTCGTGGCGTCGTGCGCCAAGAAGGGGGGAATTTATGATATCTCGAGCTCGATTCACATAAGACATGGCGTTATGTCTACAGGTACTTCGGATGAGCTGAACTCAATTCATGGAATCGAATGATATTCACCACCGTTTTATTTCCTGTAACGTGAGCTGATTTGAGTTGACTCTGTATTTTGCCGACACCTTTCATCTCACAATCATAACATACATAGCAGAGCATGGCTCTGAGTTTACATGTGTAACGGTTTGTAATGTAAATCAATAAATTGGAGCTTCATTGCGCGAACAAAAAGTCTCGACACGGAGCTTGAAGATAAGGGACAATGGTGATAGGCTCGAGGTTCCGATATTAGTGGACAAGTGGACAGACAAACTTAGACAGACCGTTCGAAGTACCGAGCCGAACCGCTAGCTGGCTCATCGCGGGGAACACTCCCATTGTAAAACTTATCAATTATAAGGTTATGTAACGGATTCTAATCAATGGCAAAGATACCCATACGTGATAGAGCTTATCAAAATCACCCATCAGCAAAACAGTTGACAATTGAAAGGGCGTGCTATCTATAATGGAACACAAGTTCTTGCAGAGATGATCATTTTTGTTCCTATATCAAGACAACATCCAGCGGCTCCCCACCATCGATCTCTTTCGTTCCCCATCTTCCTTCTTCAGCCCTTTGGACATACGAACACAAAAATCTTGGAAAGGACAAACAACAAATGAAGCTCTCCGTCTTCAAGTCGCTGTCATTATTGGCAGCATGTGGGTGTTTTCTACCAACTTTTGTGGTGGGGCATCAGCATGATGAAATGCCACAGCAACATTTGAATGTAGAGAAATTGAGACTTGGAAAGGTCGATGGAAGTGTGAGTAAGGAAGAAAAGCAAGAATTGGAGAGACTTTGGGGGTTTGAGGTCAGTCATTTTTTTGTTCCAAAGTTTTGTTAAAAGCATGTTGGTGCGGAAGAGAGACATGATTTTGAGAGTTTGGTGGTGAATACTCGAGGAATTGTGGCAGTGATGGGGTTATATTCTTGTCTTGTGGATTGATGACTTGATGATAAGACTCTTATGAAAGGTTACCTGCTCAGTGGCATATAAAGTAGGATCTGGACTTTCCCTATCCTGTGCACAGCCTTCTGTCCGATGCATGTGGTTATAGCGATGGACTGAGAGGGTGAATAGGAGGTGCAATTTTCCCGCATTCATGTTTTTCTATCCAATCCACATCTAGTCATTATTATTCAAATCGGGAAATCATCGCATACTTATTGATGAAACTCTGCAAACAGTGGTCTTTCTCAGGAATATCGACATTTGCCCATCTTGAATACAAGAAATGCCTCACTACTCCCGAGGAACTTTTCGATATAGGGATCCTGGGTGTTCCATTCGACACGGCAGTCAGCTATCGGCCGGGGGCCAGATTTGGACCCAAAGCTATTCGAGCCGCTAGTGCTAGACAAACTAGCTTTAGAGGATGTAAGTTATTGTGCTGTTGATCCGTTACCCCACGAACGAAGTAGCAATGAATGGAGAATATACTGTTTCGAAAACTAAAGAGTTGACTTTTCTACCAGTCAATACCAGAGCTGGAATAAACCCCTACACATCGTTTGCTCGCATTCTTGATTGCGGGGATATCCCCGTGACTCCCTTGGATAATGCCGTGGCATTAGAACAAATGACGGCAGCTTACACCGAACTACTCAACCGGAAGCCCCTCTCCTCATCACTCACCCGCCCAAAAATCATTTCTCTGGGAGGTGACCATAGTCTAGCACTAGCAGCACTTCGGGCTCTCCGTATGGTCTACAATCAGCCAATCGCCGTCCTCCACTTCGATGCTCATCTCGATACATGGCATCCAGCCAAATACCCAGATCCATGGACGAGTATGCAAGCGCAATTCAACCATGGGAGCATGTTCTGGCTCGCTTCAAATGAAGGATTAATCATGAACGGTAGTAGTGTACATGCAGGGTTAAGAACACGATTAAGTGGTGATGATTTCGCGGATTATGAGGATGATGATAGACAAGGCTTTTTGAGAATCTCCGCGGATGATATTGATGATCTTAGACCTCAAGGCGTGGTAAAGAAGATTATGGAGAGAATTGGAACGGAAGTTCCGGTTTATCTTAGTATTGACATTGACGTTTTGGATCCCGGTGTAGCACCAGGAACAGGCACGCCTGAACCTGGTGGGTGGACGATGAGGGAGTTGATTAGAATACTAAGGGGGATAGAGGGATTGAATATTGTGGGCGCGGTGAGTGTTGTTAAGTTTTTCAATTTTCATTTCGTGCTCCCAAGGAAGCTATCCAGTTGGGTACCACACGCTTACAATAAGACAACGTTTGATTCTTCATTCAATTGAGGTCATGATTCGCAAACAGCGTTCCTTTCAGTACTGTTGCACGCCCTGCCACCCACCATCGAAATTGTATTCAAACTTTGAACTACGCCTTTTCCAATTCTATCATTTTTGTTGATCAAGAATACTAATCCTTGGATTTCTAGGATGTCGTGGAGGTTAGTCCAAGCTATGATGGGACTGGGGAAGAAACGGCACTCAGTGGTGCGCAGGTGGTTTTCGAAATGTTGACGAGTGTTGTCAAGAGAGGTTTGAGGGATATGGGAAAGGTCACAGAAGTTAAAGAGAGTAGGAAGGAGGAGCTGTAAAAGCAGCGGCTTACAGGTCGAAGGTAAAGCGTGGGTGCGGAGGACAAGCGGAGGAGATCAGATTTTCTGGTGACTCACGTTTTCAGACACTGAGAAGAATGTCGAAAATGTAAGCGTGCTTCGCAAAACAGAATGCTGTGGTGGGATGAATAAGAAACAGGGTGACGCGAACTGGGCGAGTCTAGATTTGATCAATGCAAAGTTGATGCTATAAGATTCCTTGCGGGTCAAGTTCTTTCTTCCATTCGACTTTGATACAGGCTGCACTAATTTAAATCGTCACAAGCAGTAACATATTGCTCGCTCTGATTGTTTTCGGAGGAGCAACACAACGGGTTGCGGATCTTGAGATGAAGCGGATCAGATTCAGGGGTTCAATCTCGAAACCTGTACTCAACGTCCTTTTCATTCAAGGCAGAGTGTGGAAAGCAAGGTAAATATGCCCCAGTGGCATTTCAAACTTTTAGACTACCGAAGAATATAGTGCTCATCGCTGCTTTGGGTAGGTTATTGCAATTTTTCTTTATCACCTGTGGATTTTATTTCGCATCCCCAAATTGAGTTGTCGTCTTTTCCAGTTTATACCAAGGGTAGCTACGCTAGTATACTGAAAATAACTCATTCAGACCCTAACTCGGAATATCGAGCATATTTCAATTGCTCTGTTGTTTCAGATGACCGTTGCGATGATCTAGATAGATGGATATCATCTGAAAACGGTTTGAGGCCGGGCAATAATACGTTGATTGTTCGATAACGTGGGAATACGCAGCAAATCCCTAGAAAACATTCGGTGAAATTGAGACCAGGCTCAGGCATTGAATTATGCAATTGAGGGTTGATGCTAGGGGGTGCTTATATTATGCTTACTTATTCCAATGCATTTCCTGGGGCATTGCGGCACATGAGAATAAGGTTATGTAAAGGCAAACTCGACACGACTTGCTTGGCAGTGAGCATGGCTTTGATCAACAATGTGGGTGGTATTTGGGGAACTTACATGAAAGAATTGCATACTTTCCACGACTGCATATGCGGAAAGCCATTTCAAGTCAGACGCAATGCAAATCCTCCAGGGTTTCAGGATAAGGAAACAGTGATTGCCTCTAAAGTTCTTGCAGTGGGCAAAATCCAAACTCATATAGAACGACCAAGTATGTTCAAACATCGCATGATGGAGGACTTACACTAGTGTAGATCCATCTCGGCCTTTCGGTCTTCCAAGATCCTCACGAGATCATTCACCAGGAGTTCAGCATGGATCTGCTGTTACTTCTAGGTAACTTGTCACTTGCAAGTCACCAAATACCCTAGTAAACATGATTTCACCCTCAGCAGGGAGCAAAAGACGCCAGATTTGTTACAAGGGAACCACGCGGGGTAGCGGGATGTTCCATAACCTCTGTGATCCTATAAAATTGTCATCTCATCATCTTCTTTTCGTAGCTTCTCGGCTTGTCATGGTTGTAACTTGGTCGAAACCTCTGCTTGATGTAGATCAAACCCAAATAACACATGCGGTGAGTCCTCTTGGAAAAATATGTGTGTATTTGCATATAGGATGCCAAAGGATTCTGTCAATAGATATTTGAAACAATAAAGTGCCGAGTCTCGTCGAGAAAATAGCGAGCCCGGCGATTTGGAAAGGCGCAGCAGCCAAGAAGGAATGTTACATTGACTTGACAAAAGCAAAAATAACTTCAAACCAAAATCAACCTCCAAAGCTTCATTTTAGTCGTTTGATATCTGTATTACATTCGAGGAACAGTGTTTACTGCAACCATGTAATCATGCCGAAAAGGATTTCGCGAAGGTTTCGGGGGAACCGGAGGAAGGAGTAAAAGGATCGCGGTTGTTTGTAGAGTATTAAGATCATTGCTCGCCTTGACCTTACTGAGTTGGGAAATTTTGGTCAATGCTTCTCAGAAGCGTTCAGATTGGAATATTTATATCATATATTGGGTGGACTAGGTATTCTAAGCAACGTGATCTAAATTCATCGAATCAGTAACGACGACAGGGGGGGCGATTAAGAAGCGGGGTCAAAATCGCTGTTCCGCAGATAAATCTATGCGCCGCTCTAACTCTTATCACCTATCATGATCCAAATATAGCCAGGCACAAATGATTTCGAATATCCTTCCAAGGAAGGGTCTTGTACCTGAGGATCAAGGGAGTTTGAAATGATACGTTATTCCCAACGACGATATTCGACTGAAAACCCATATAATTAGTTAACTATCTTGAGGTATTCTACAGATCATTGTTTCCTCTGGACCTATTCATAATTCAACGACACACAACAATAGACTCAAGATGCCATCGAGAAGATCGCATATCAAATCACATCACGGTTGTACTCAATGCAAACTCCGGAGAGTTAAGGTAAATTATTCTTGCATGTTGCATGTTGGAAGGCTGTGGGCTTTGTCATAGCCCATGGCCTTTTGAGCGGGCTCATGCTAATCATTAAATTAGTGTGATGAGCGTCAGCCTGCTTGTTCTAGATGTATAGCATACAAGAGAGAATGCACGTATAATTCGTTGATCACTCAAGCACCTGGTCAGCATAGTTTCGAACTGCGGCCACCGCCGAAATCGAAAACCCAAAGGCACAAAACAGCGTTCATAAGACCTTCATCTCAACGTGAACCACCTCAGAGTCAGGATCCATGTTATGGCATTCAAGCACCACTTCCACTTGGTCGATACAAAGAAGCAGATTCCCTTCTCTATCACTATATTAATGTTACTGCTAAGCCCGCGACATCAGCATTCATTAGTCCAGATCATAATAAATGGGAAGGAGCCGTGCAACGAAGCGCTTCAACTCATGAATACGTATACAACGGAATGCTCTCTTTCGCCTCTTTACATCTGGCTGTTCTTCAACCTCAGAATAGTTCAATCCACATAGCCAGAGCGCTGAAATTTCAAAACACGGGTATGACAGAATTTAGACCAGTGTTGGAAAATGTCACAGCGTCGAACTGTGAAGCTGCTTTGGGATTTTCGGGATTATTGATAAGTTCCATATATGCATTTCCAGTAGCGCAAGCCGGACCAGATAAGCCTAGCGAAAGATTGTTAGATTATCTACCAATAATATTTAGTTTGTTCAATGGAACCGTGGCTATATACCGAATGGGTTGGATGAAAAGCCTGAATTCTCCACTCAGTGTGCATCTGCGGAACAAAGTGATGACAGCTGACGCAACAAGCACTCCTGCAGAGGGCGAAGAGTACCTCAAGAAATTAGAGCGTCAAGAGATTGCAAGGCTAAACGACCAGCATCTTCGAGTGCTGTATCATGACGTATCTCAAAAAGTTCGGCGAAATTTAAGAAGGACGGAACAGTTTCCTGGAAGAGCATGGCCTGGGGCGGCACCACCAGCATACATTGGATGCATGAAAGAAAGGGAACCTATTGCGTTGATACTGGTTGCTTACTGGGCAGTAGGACAGGATAGAGGGGTAGGGCATAACTGGTGGGCGAAGAATTGGGGGAGAGATTTGGTGGAGGTAATCGGAGAAGAGCTGGGAGATGACGCGAGATGGGAGTGGTACATGAAGTGGCCGAAGGAGAAAATGGGACTAATTTGATGTGGAGTCTAACACAGAAATGGGATCTATCTTGTGTTCATTGATAAAGGTATCATCACTACAAGGACTCCCCATAGATCTGATTGGACTTGATACTTCAGGAGAAGTTTCCATTACAGGAATGGTTTGATTGATTGATTGATTTCATTTACGTCCATCTTCAGTCTAAGACTATATAGGACGGCTAGGCCTCTAGAGGCTCTAGCGGATAACTTTTTATTCTATAAAAATGGATATATACGATTTAGGGAAATAAAAACAAATGCTGGGGAACAGTGTCCGCTCATTATACACATTATATATAATAAGAAAATTATGAAAATTAAGAAATTGTAAGGAAATCAAAGCCTTTTCTTATTTTTCTAATTATTTCTTCTTTATTCTCTTCTTCTTTTTCCTCTTCTACTATTATTCCTTCCTTTATTTCGTTTTGTATAAAAACTCTAGCCAAATGCTATGCTTTTGTAGCGATTTTGGTGATATTGATGAATTTAATGGCTAATTCAATATCTACTTTTGTATGGAGTAGGAACTATATAGTAATCTTAAATAGTGGTATATTCTTGAATATTTCTTTTCTCTTTGCTTTGTATATGGGACAACTAATAAGGAGGTGTTGTGGAGCCTCAATATTACTATATATATATTTGTTATCAGAAAGTTTGAATCGATATAAATAAGATTTGATATATTTATGATCTAATTTGAGTTGAAAATATATGCTAATAGTGTTTTGCTTAGTTTCGCTTGGTAGCTTGATTTTCGATCCTATTTTTTATGGAAATAGCTTTAAATAGATCAAAGGGGATTGATTTGATCTGAATTTGTATTGATTGAAAATAAAAAGTCATTGATCTGAATCGTATTTTTTGATTATTATATTTAGAAGTCCAAAACTTGTTTTGTTTGAGATAGAATATATTGTGGTTGTTTTCTTTGCTAGTTTATCTGCTAGCTCATTTCCTTCTACTAAAGTATGTCCTGGAACCCAATTTAGAGATACTTCAGCTCCTTTTGCTTTGATGATTTCCGCTGTTTTGATTGCTCGAATCTGATAGGCCTGTCTAGGGTGGTCTGATGGTGTTTTTAAGCGATATAGATCAGCTTGGTTGTCCGAATATATCTTGAATTTGTTGTCAATACAAGCAATTATGCTAGTATATTTAATAGCTCTAGTAACCCCGTAAAGCTCTTTATTATACACTAGTTGATTACTACCAATATTCAATTGTTATTGATATAAAATTCGATTGTTTGATTATATTACGATTATACCTATACCTATACCTATTCCTTTTTCAGTAGAAGAGGCATCAGTATAAATGTAGGTAGTATCCTTATCTCTGTGATTGAAAACGATATTGTGAAGAATAGTAGTATCTTCTTTTGATGAATTACTAATATTAACTCTAAAGGGAATTTCCTTTTTCCATAGGGGGAAGTTAAAGTAAATAATCTTTTCAAGTAAAATAGGATTGAGATTCTGATTTATTGATTCTCTAATTCTATCAAGTTGGATTGATTTATATCGTTTTCTTTAAGGAGTAGGGATTATTTCCAAATCGGTTTGATATTGAGCTGATATTTCTTTTTCGATATTGATTGGATGATTTAATAAGAGTTTAGTTAGATAAAACATGTATTACCTAATATTTAAATCTAATCGAATTTTTGGGGGCTTTAGACCTGCTTCTATTTCTATTGGAAAAATTGGGGCTGTTTTGAAGACTTCTAATATCTTTCGAAAAGCTAGATTTTGAAACAATTGTATTATATTTTTGAAATGAATTTGATCTCTTCATTAAATCACTAATCCATAATCAGCTATACTGATTACATATATTATATATAATTATCTAAGGGCTTTAAAATTAAGGCCCTTTTCGATATTAGTTAATCGAGTTATTTGATGGAAGGTATTTTTCGCTTGTATAATTTGAATATTAATATATTGATCGAATTTGAGATTCGGGTCGAATTATATTCCTAGTTATCTAATGAGAGATTGGGGTATAATTATTTTCGAATTGGATAGTGTGATTGGATATTTTTTTGTTAATTTGAATAATGAAAAGTGTATTAGCTTTGTTTTTGCTAAATCGAATTGGATTATATTTCTAGAATTGAGTTTATAGATTTGTTTTGTAACTTTCTCTAGGGTTTTGATATTCTTTTTTTATGTAAATGAATATGTGATTAAAGTAATATTATCTATATAGGAAAGAAACTTAATCGAATTGGGTAAAAAGAGCTCCTTGATATATATAAGGAAAAGAATTGGAGAAATCGGGCTGTCTTGTAGTATTCTGATTGAAATTGGTTTGAAAGATTTGATTTGATTATTAAAAGATAATTTCAATTATCTTTGTTGAAGAAATGAGGCTATTCAGGCTATCAGATTTGTGGATAGTTTTAGCTTTTTACAAATATCTAATAGTCGATTTCTCGAAATGTGATCAAATGCTCCCTTTATATCCATAAATAATATTGAGGTCTTTTTACTAGCTTGCTTATTTCTTTCAATTTCTGTAGTCAATAAAAGTGCAGTATCGATTACTGATTTCTTTTAGTATCCTTCTATTTGACTCTTATAAAAGAGATGGGTTGTTTCCACTAAATATCCTAATCATTGAGCTAGAATCCTTTCGCTTATTTTACCCAGGCAATTTAAGAGTGCAATTATTCTATATACTTTTGAAAGAGAATAATCTGGTTTGAAAGCTTTCTTCAGAATAACTTCTATAATTTGTTTCCAACATTTCGGGTAATATTCTAGATTAATAAGTTTACTAAAAAGAGTAAAAAAGGTTTGTAGGATTGCTTTATAAGCCTTTATAATGATCTCTTAAGTGATTCCATTTAGGCCAGGGGTTTTTCCTTGGATTTTGATTGAACAGATATTGCTTAATTCGATTTGAGTAAAATTAGGTTATTCCTATTGCTTGGATTGTTTATACCTTTCCTATTATGATTTTAAGATAATAAAAGAGGGTGGGAATAGAATTGATCTGAAAGCAGAGTATTTTCCTTCGAAAAAGCTTTTTGTTGCAATATCCGGTATTCTTTAATCTTAAAAGTCTTTAGTATAGACTATTACTTTGAAAATTGTCTTTATATCCTTCTTTTCTAGAAACTTATTTCAATAATCCTTTTTTACTATTTTAATAGCTTAAAAGTATTTGTTTCTAGCGATTCGATATTCTTCCTTAGAATTATAATTCTTTAGATCTGATTCAATTCTTTACTTTGCTTCTCTTAACTCTTTTCGAAAATCTTTTAATTTAGATGTCCACCATGATTTGGCCTTTTTAATTGAAACAATTTTAGGTATACACTTTTCTATTGCTTTTTAAATAATCCTAATAAGTTCGTTTGCTACTTAATCTAGAATTAGATAATGATTATCTTTGTTTTTCAAAAGGTTTAAGAAATCCTCTTTGATTGAAAGGATTAATTCTAAATTTGATAGAATAGGGGAATATAAGAATTCCGATTTGAATATTGATTTGAACTTTTTTCAATTCGCTAGCTTAATATTGTATCTAGCTATTAATCTAATATTAGAAGTACTTAAATCTTCTTTTTCTTTTAATTCGAATAATATTCCTGTATAATCAGATTCTGTATCTAAAAGCGTTTGTCAATTGTGAATTTGAGGAGAGATTCTCTCTGATATTAGTATTAGATCAAAAACACTTGGATTAAGGAGATTAGTTTGATAGAAAGTACTAATTCCGGGCTTGTTTAAAAGAATGAGATTCTGATTTTCAAATTATTCAGTTAATTAATCAACATTTCCGTTTTTCTTCGAAAAAGGATCCCATTATAGGTAATAGGCATTGAAATTACCTAAAAGGATGGTTTCTTATATAATAAATATATTATATAAGTATCTTTTGATTATGAAACCTTTTTCTTTAGCTTGATTAGTTTTATTGTATATATTGATGATTTGAAAGGTTTTGTTTTCATTTTGACAATTGAAAATCTGTATATCAGAATCTATTAGAGAATCGGAAGCTAGATTGATTGTAGCTTGAAGAGTTTTTGATGTGTATAGTAATGTACATGGCCGGTAATTAGGATTGAGTTTTGATAATATTTATGTGAAATTGGAGTATATAATAGATCTTGAATTTGAGTAATCGATTCTGTTTTTAATAATCCAAGGTTTTTGAATTATAATAAGGTTGATATTAAGTTTTATTGCAAGCTATAGAATGTTCTCTATAGCTTATGAACTTCGATTGAGATTTATTTAAAGGATTCGAATATTAGTGTAACTTATTAATGAGTAATATTCGATTTTTGTTGAATAGCCTAATAGGTTTCGCATGTTTTCGAATTTACTATATGATTCCCTTAGCAATTCGAGCATTTTACTTTTAAGTATTGATAGAACTTTTCTTTAATATTATATACCATATACAAGTATACTAATGTAATGTGCTTGTCTCCACATAATCTACAGGAAGGGTTTTTTCTATAATAGGTATCCTGATGTCCAAATCCTTGATATTTCTGATATTATGTAGTTGGTTTTGATTTGTAGAATTGTTTTATTCTTATACTATTTTCAGCAATATATAATTACTTTCGAATAGCTAATTCTGCTTTTGATTTTATAGCAAAAGTAATAACGATAGTATTCTCTTGTTGATAGGCTTTTCTGAAGACGGGTGTAAGCCAAAAGAGGATTTCTATAGGCTTGAAGTCTGGATTGAAGATTTTGATTTTGTTGAGTATAAGATTTATTCCTTTTATGCCTGAGAATTCTTTAATTGGGATTTTGTGAATAATAACTTTATACTATTCTTAATCCTTTTGGATTCTTTCGAATTTGATAATATTATTCCAAATCGCTTTTTTCTTTAATAAGAATTGTAATGTAAAGGGATTATTTGTTGTGATAATGATATTATTATTGAAGGATATAGTTATTATTGTAATAACTGGCCCTTTGATTCTGATTTTTTGAAAGGCTTTATTTATTTTGTTTTGGATAATTAGAGGGGAAAAGGAGGTAGGGTTTGGAAAATCTGACTTGATTAAGATAATTCGTTTTTGGATGAGGTTAGATTTCTTTTCTATATTAGTAAATGTAATGTTTTTCCCTTTGGGGACTAAATTCCATTTTCCTTTTTTTGAAATATCAGTATATGTTAGTTTCAATGTAGTGGTAGTAATAATAATGGGTAAAAGAGGTTTAGCTAATACTTTCGCTTATGATTCGATTTTGCATGTAACAGTTTCTAAATGGGTGATTTGAGAGATAATAATATTTGAAGCTGTAATAAGCTTCCCCTTTTCAATATATTCTCTAAAGATCTTTAGG